GAAGAGAAAAATAATCCTCAGTCTTATCCAGATGTGAACACTGAGATCTACAATGACCACAGGCCTGGGGAGGCATGCACATCTACTAGTGCAAACTGGCATGAATGTCATGGGAGCAACCAACCACTTTCTGATTGGATTGGAGGTCCACTCCACAAAACGAAACCCACCCACACCTAGCGTCATCATCGGGACCAAGAACCTGTGGCTAGACAGGTCATAGGCCAGATTATTATTATTCTGCTAAATGGACATAGCATCAAACTGACTCCTAGTGATTTATCCTTATATCCATAGATTAGCACACCCCTTATCTTTCATCAGAGAAACGTCTTTCCAAGTAGTAGATGGAGATTAACACAGAGAGCCACAACCGTCAAGGTGCAAAGGATAAGAGATTGTAGAATGCTCAGCCCTAAATAGGACAGCTATATCACAACCCCTCCTCTTGAGGTTCCTGGGTCATTACAGAAGAGGGGGAAGAAAGATTGCAAGAACCAGATACTGTGGATAATATAAGATAACAGTGTTTTCTCCGAACAACCAGGTGGTTGCACATGGGAACTCACAGTGGTTGTGACAGCATGCCCAAGACCTGTGCAAGCTAGACAAAATACCAGCCTGGACCAGGGAAGTGGGCAAGAAGCCCCACCCTAGCTGAGCAGCTATTGGCTGTTGTTAGCTATGGGGAGAGGGAAAGTCAGTTTTTTTAAAGGTGTGACCCCTGGTAGGTTGACCATGTTCCAGGGGATGAACCCACACTCAGTAGTATTTATGTAGCACAAATCAGATTTAATGGACTTTAGAAAGAATGTAAGGAAGGAAATGAACCTGAGTAGGCAGATAGGTTAGGGGTGGATTTAGAAGTAGATGTGGAAGGTGGTAAATATGTTCTAAATGCACTGCATGAAATTCTCCAAGAATTAATAAAAACATTTAAAAACAAAGGACACGTAGCATAGACTATTCATCTCAGATGGACAGGAAACAGAGAAAGAAGAAACTGGGGGCCAGATAAAATCTTCAAGGACCTGACTCCTCCCCCTGACCTAGTTCACCCAGCTAGATTCCACCTCCTAAAGTCTCTACTACTACTAGATAAAGAACAAACCTTCTTTATATGAGCCTGTGTGTGTGTGGGGGGGGATTTCACAACACTGAGGCACTATACGAGCCATGTTTGTTTTTTTTTAATAAGAAAAATGTTTTTCTTTTGTTAATTTCACCATTCAACTGACATTTCCTGAAGCTAACTTAAACACCTGGCTAGATGCAAGGGGACCAGGATATAAAGGTAAAATCGCACAGGAATGATCTTGAAAATCTACCTACTGTTAGGTAGAAACGAACATATGGGAAATATTTTTAACAGCATGAGAGGATCAAAACATGTTACATGACAGAGAGATTCAGAGTGTTGTGGGATGATCCATTAGAGAGCTGCATATAATAATTCGGTGAAAATAATTTCCAAACAAACAAGCTCCAGTCCTTAGAAAAGCCATTATGTAAGATGCTGTGTTCTCGGGATGCCAGATGAAAGAGGCACCGTGATATACGGCCAAAAAAAAAAGATTGTGGAACAAATCTCACTGTTACAATGCTTCTGAGTGGGTACAGGGGCCCAGTGAGGAGAAACACACAGCTACACACGTGATCACATGTACCCAGAAAGATGCAGGTATCATGGGCACATTAGGACATTAGCAGAATAAAGATGCACTGTTGCCTTCCGGCTTGCTCTCAGCATCCTCATCACCAACGCATATGAAAATATAGATTTATGTTGGCAGCACTGAATTGTTCAAGCATTTTACTTGTGCATTTCTTGTCCCCTGAAGTTCAGATTTTGAACTCCTCAGGATAACAAAAGTAGTTATTTAACAAATCAGTTCAAGTTGAACATGAATTAAACATTACCAGGACAATAAGTGATGGTGAATAAATTGTAAATCCAAAGCTGATTTCTAATAAATATTATGTCCTATGTCTTAAAATGCCCCTGTAAGTGGCTTGATCTAGCAGCAGTAGATGGCAAACATATCCTAACTTCATTTCAAGCTGATCTGCTGATCTGTTTATCATTTACAATTATTATTCTGAAGGTAAATGGCTCTTAAATGGAGTAAATATAAAAGTTAGGAACGTCTTACTTCCTTATGACTGCAACTTGAACTGCACATAGATGGCTAGTGAAAGTTTGAACATACACATTGAGATCTTTATATAAGTGAAAGGAAACAGTCGGTCTCCCGCTGAGCACCCTCTGTGGCACACAACCATTCACCATCAGCCTTGGGATCCAGAGTCTGACTAATATTTGGCTCTAATATTATAGGTAGCTGCTGTGGAAGGAATCAACAAGGACATAAATGTTTCCTTGGAAAAATTTATACACAGATAGATTGCAGCACCCAGCTACCATGGTGTCTAAAACTTTTTTTTTTCTCTAAATAAAGCCTGAGTCAGCCAAAAAAGATGAACTGACTAGAGAAATCTGCATCACGCACTGCTCCAAAAGAGCATATTTATTCAAGTCGTGATGCTTTGCACATTAGAATTTTCCTAATAGAGACCAGGTGAAAAGCCATTTATTTATTAACATGCACATTTCTGCTTTCTTTTTAATGGCACAGTGGAGCTATGCGATAACACCTATCATATTGCTCCTATCACACTTGTCTGATGGTTTAGTCAAAATTAAATCCTTTGTGATTATTTAGCTAAACAGTTAAGGGGAAATTGTGTTCAGATTGGGAAGCTGCTTTTGAAAAACCATATATTTACTGAATTTTCTCCTTCAGGATGCAAGCCTTGTGGCCTGTTATTCAATTGTTTGTCGGGGGCGAGTAGAGCTGGGGTCAGTGAGAAAGGCTGGGCTCCCTTTACTACAGTATTCTAGAGATAAATTTATATAGCCAACTGGAATCATGGAACGTCATGCTCATTAATTTAGGAATGTTTCTGTTCCATCAAGCTATCTTTCCTGGGTAACATTCATTTCACTTAGAGGAGAATATTAAAGTAAAACAATTGCAAGCCACATAAAATACTGCCCCATTTCTAGGTAACTTTTTTTTTTTTTTCAAACAGAACTCCTTACCTTAGTGGTGGTGGTGGTGGTGGTGGTTGTGTGTGTGTGTGGGGGGGTTTGATAGTTTAGCATATTCTTTGCTGTCTACAGATGCACTAACCCTGATCCAATGCAGTAGAAAAAATACATACATGATTTATTTCATTTATTCCCATTCAGCCCTAATATGGCTTAAAGGATTAATTTGACTTCCAACTTGTCCCCATTATTTGGCTAATAGAGAGTTAATTTATCTGTCTACAGATTCTTCTAGCTTCGGGCTACAGTCTGGGTTTCTCATATACTTGGTCTTCTTTACAGATTTAATTCAAGCTGTTTATTAATAATGCATGTCTTAATAGATGACAATGCAGACTTCCCTTGTGGGAGATAGTATTTCTACCTATGAGGCTTTAATAGGCAACAGTTACTAACTAACGACTTGGTCTACTACACAGTCCCAACAAATGAAATGCCATTTGGCTATCAAAACAGTCACAACTCGTGCATGACCTATTCCACACCCTCTTAAATGTCTTAGTCAGTGCTAGGAAAAGCTGCACACTTGCTAAAGCGGCTGAAAATCTAAGCATATTTCACTAGCACCTCCTAGAGGCCACGTGAGGATATGAGTGAAGTAGGTGGGTATCTGCGCAAAAAAATTGAATTGTTGGTTTCAAATCTCAACAAAAAACATACCCAGGCTGTATCTCTCAGAATACAAGCTATTTCGTGGAAGCAGTTTGGTGACTCAACAGGGTCTTTAGAGCCTGAACTAAAAGGCACGAAGAAGAATAATCATTAAACAGGCATTGCAAACTCTGCGGGGGAAAGAAAAAAAAAACCGACTCCTAATAACACTGTGTTCTTTCAAAGACCAAAGCTTCATTATGACCCCAGAGTAACCAAGAAATAGTATGCACTCACTTTACACACACGTTCACAGATTAAGAATTATCCGGATACAGCCCTGGCTAACTCTGAGGCTGGATTTAAGGTCTGCACGATCTTGCCTGGTTGCTGTGAAGGAGGGCTCGGAGGCGCTTGAGGGCAGAGCTGAGAGTCTGTAGGAGTTGCTGTTCCAGAGAATTCATTACTCTCTAATTGTTCTGATTTTAGATCAGCAGAGCATGCCGGGCGGTGGTGGAAAAAAAGATCGAGGGCGGAGAAGGCGAAAGGAACCAATAGCTTACTCCCCTCCCCCCACGCCCCGGAGAAGCCAAGGCGATATACAGTTTATATATACATAAGAAATTCACCCACAGGAGGAAAAATACTCCAGCTAGCAAGCAATCACAGCACTTCTGTGCGTCTCAGTCTCTCTGGGTTCTGTGCGCGGGTCCTGGGACCCTTTCCAGGTTTAATGAGCGGATCATCCGCGAGCTGCAGATTGCGCTGTGTGTTTCCAGGGGCTCTGGGTGGGAGAGAGGAGGGAGGGAGGGAGACGCAACCCCCTGATCTTGCCTCAAACCTCATTCCAGGCACTGGCACCTCGCGGGCCCTTGGAGGAGCACGCACAGCAAGCAGCCACCCTGGAATGAAAAACAGGGAAGTGTGGGGCTCAGAGACCGGTAGGAAGCCTTGCCCAAGGCCAGGCTGCAATTAGGAAGCCGCAGAAGCTGGGCCGCTGAGCTGCCCACCTGTTGCTGTCGCCGCTGGGCCGCGACTTCCTCCTCCCCAGGCTGGAGCTGGGCTCCCGGGCCAGGCTGGGAGGCTGGAGGAGGTGCAGGAAGCCGCGGCAGGTTCCCCGGCAGGCAGCGCCAGCGCCGGGGGCCGCGGGTGGCAGCATCCTCCTCCTCCGGGTCTGGGTTCCCGGGGGCCGGCCGCGCGGCCAGGCGCCCTCCGATTGGCTAGCGGCGGTCAGGGGTGGAGCCAGGAGGCCGGTATCTCCCGGACCGCCTCAAAAGCGCCCAGGCTATCGCCGAGCGCACTGGAGCCCTGGCCAGCGCGCAGCCTTCCCGGCGCCGGCTAGCTGAGTCTTGGGAATTCTCACTCGCTTCGGCGCACTCCCTTTCACAAAACCACTGGATCTTACAAGCTTCTGTAAACCCCACTTTCACTCCATGTCCCCATGCTCCTGTGCCACCAGCAACAGGTAAGGGCCGCTGCATTTCTTCCTTCTCGCTCTACTGTGTGTGTGTGTCCTGGGGAATGGACTCGCGCCACGGTCGCTGGTCCTCCGCTACCCCGCTGCTCCAGAGGTGCCCAGCTGTCAGGCTCCCCACGGTTTGGCGTCCCAGCTCACTGCCTATATAGTTTGTGTGCGCACCAGAACATCTCCAGAGCTAAAAATACTGAGACATGCTTGGAACAGTTGAGCAATAGAAACAGATTTCTTTGCAGCATCTGTTTGTGCTCACAACTTCCATCGCACCAGCTGTAGGGAGATACTGGGTTTAGAGACAAGGGCGAGTCTGGGGTGGATTCTTCTGCTACTTGGGAGTGGGGGGAGGAAAGAAATGTGATTGGGGAAGGAAGGTCCGTCTTGAGTCCTGGCCTCAGACCTTGGCAGCAAACCTTGAGCTTCGGCTTGTTCTACATCTTTGATTTTATTTACTTAATTTGTTTTTTTTTTTTAATTGGGGGGGGGGGAGTCATTGCTTTAAGTATAGCTTCGAGTTCCAGAGCGTCTTAAAGTTGCTTTGCTGATAAAGCAGAGTCCGAGTTGGATTTGAGCCTGAAGAGGGTAAAACTTCCCATCCCTTGTTAGTCTGCCCTAAGCACTTTGCTATTCTTAGTAATAATGGTGTAAATTCCTCCCTTGAAGACAACATGGTTTTAAGGAAGCAATGATCAAAACGACTTGATTCTGCAAGAACGATTGCATCATAACATGGACTCCTCATGACAGTTCTTATGTCGAAAAAAAAAATCGGCATAAGAAATGGGGAGTTCAATGGCTGTCTGTTTCATTCTGTCAGTAGAGAATGGGAATGTCAAAGATTTTCAAAAACTCAGAATGTTCCTGTCAGGAAAGAAAGGTGTTGCTTGAAAGTCTGCTTCCGATATGCAGAGAATGCACTTTTACCATTCCTTCTGTCTTTGTATTAATAATTAATAGGCTGTCAGGTTTCTTTTTGCTAACCACCTCTGTATGGGTACTCTGTGCCACCTCTGTGCTGTTCGCCTCTTCCTGCTCACACCCAAGTGTTTTAATTTTTATTTTCCATGATCCAGAAAAAAAAAAAAATCTGATGCTCAGTAGAGATAGGTTACTTCAAGTATGGAGGGAGGGGTGAGAGTCCAGGTCAAGGTCATCGCTCTGTTTTGTCTCCGCCCTCCCTTGTATTTTGGTGGCATTTTGTTTTATATTTATGTTATTGATACGTGTAAAGATATATGTTTCCCACTTTTGTGAATCTGACTTGATAAAAAGTCTCCATCTTTCAGACACTCCATATCAAGTCTCCGACCAGCTGTAGACTCCTTGAATAACTTCTGAGACATCTGAAAGACTGACTATAACTTTGCCTCAATACTTTGACCACTTCAAGCTTTCCAAAAGATGCAAATTTTTGTTTACGTGTGTGGTTTTCAGCATATGTAAATGCCCAGAGCTGCTGCTAGCATTGCTGTGCATAAATGTTAGAGGCGGCACTCACGTAGCTGGGTGTCCTCCCTCCCATCTCCACCTATCCCTCCTCCTCCCTTCTGTTTACTGAGCTTTGTAGAGGTTGCTTTGCAGCCCTGGGACTCACATAGCAACTTGTGCCCAGAGCACTCCGGCTGGTCCGCATGGCTGTCGCGTCAGCTGGGGAATAGCTGCTCTGAGCCCTCATTAGAGGACCTCGTTCACCCAGCACCTTTTCCTTCTGCTATTTCCTACCCTTAACCAGAAGCCTCTTTTTTCATGGTATATCAGAGATTCTCTTATGAGACATCATGATTCTCATTTACTCTTCCTATGACCTTTATACCTTTATGTAGTTTTTCATAGGTACCACTCAGTATTTCCTATACATTAAACAAGACGATTCTCCTGTTTCTACTGTTTGATCTCCTTCACCTTGTACTTATGCAAAGCTCTCTCGCCTTTAATGTCTACCTAAGATTCAGGCACTGAACTATTTTTTTCCATTACTTATGCTTAATTTTGGCTCAGCCTATAAATAGTCTTAACATGAACAGTACCACATGTAGCCTCTCAATTTCCCAGAAATACTTTCTACATCATTGGTTATGGCTTGGGTGAAATGATTATTTGTGTCCATTGAGTTTACAACTGGTTCCTTAAATATTTGGACTAAGGGGAATTTGCACATTATTCACCAAATCCAGTATCAACTCTCCAGAGCCGTAACCATGAAGAAGTCAGATCAGTGACTGTTCACTTGTATTCCTAAGTCACTGTTTCTCAGTATATTATTGAAATAAAATTTCATGGAAGGCCTCTTTCTTTTTAATGAAAGCTTTTTCCAGATGCTCATGAATTGGTGATTTCCACGGAGAGAGGAGAGGGAAAGAAAATTTTCTGCTTGCCTGAGGTCACTGGGACATGTGGGCAGGTTAACAGCAAAAGCATGGTGAAGTACCAGGGCAGGTTCTAGACTTAGCTATTGTAATCAGCTCCATGAATGTCTAAATACGTATATTGTGTATGCTCACATATACACATATCAGCATCTTTGGGGTGGGGAGGCATATCTATTTGACGTTGTGTAAATTTCCATTTTAGAGAATGGAAAAAAAAAAAAGCTCTTCTTTTTCCCTTTCCTGGAAGGAAAATGATAAAATTTGTAAATGGTGCTCTAGCATGTGGAATGAATTCTTCCATTAGCAATGGAGATGAGAATATAATAGCCCCTCAGCACAGACTGTTTGCATGATTCCAAATGGAGAAAGCTATTCATAGGAAGCTTGTATTGTGGGATTCAAACAAATGTCCTGGGGTCAACATTTTGGAGTCCTAATTCAGCCTTCAGAGGTCATAAGGTTGTTAGGTTCTGACTTGGAAAGTCAATCAGAAGGAACCTGAGTCTGTCTATGCATGGCCCCTAATGTGAAGTCTGAGAAAAGTATGGAAGGGAATTTTTGAAGTATGGAAGGAGATTTTTAAAAATTTTAGTTTATAGCAAAATATTTTAAAGTCAATCAAAACTCAAAGATATACTCTTTAAAGGGGATCCTTTGTCTCATCCCCATGTTTTAAAGGAAAGCACACATATGTTTGGTATTGTGCTACTGTCCCTCTGTACAGAAGTGTTTGGTAATATTACGTTAGCCAAATCATCTGAAAACACTGTTAATTTTTTCTTTCCCCATCCAGGATCTAGAATTCCGAGGAATATGATTCTTTATTCTTTTGTCCAAGTGCACACCCCTTAGGGAAGTAGACAAAACACGAAAGCAGGTGGAAGCTTGGGAAGGTACAGCTACGTCTTTTTATAAAGTAATTCAAAGGCACTTTCAAGTCGAGCATCATTTAGGTGTCAAAAGCCTGCCAAAATGTAACACACATTGCAATTTTCACAGATGACTAATCTCAAGAAAAATGTGTTGGGGCACATTCTTGCATAATAACTTGGATATATAGAGAGAGAAGACTATAACAAGGCATTTTTAAAGACAATACACCTTGCCTCTTGGTGAGGGGCTACATGGAGCCAGGGCAAGTGATTTGCTTTCTGTATTTGCAGCTGGATTGGCCGAAAATAGTTCTGTTCACTGATATATGTTCATGTGCCTTCTGGGGGAAAAACCAAAACTAGTGTCCTCTTAGCAGGCTGGGCTCCAGGAATTTCTAATCCTTTCCACCATTTCGTCTAGATACTTGCGATGGATCTGGTTGTTTGAAATGCTGACGCTCACTTCTAGGTTTTAGTTCTAGGCTGTACTGATATTAGTCAAGCTCTAGACTTCGTTAGTGCACATTTGATAAACACCTTGGACCTTTTTAAAGGCTTTTTCCCCTTTTTTTATTGTTAAGGAGGGGAGGTGGTTTCTTTGGAGCCAAGATAGAAAGTTAAAGCAAGTAGACACTTTTTACCTGGGGCAGATTGAGGCAATGAGAGAAAAAATGAAAACTGCTATTTGCTCACATTAACTGAAGGTGAGTGCCTTCTCCATAGGAACCTCTAGCAAACAACAGCAGTGGAAGTGAAAGTAAGCTGACTGGCATTTATGAGCTACTTTGATTACAAAGTTGTCTCTGTTTGAGAGAACACAGCATTGGACCCACATGAAATGAGTTCCTGCCTTATCTCAATCCGCTAAAGACCTGGGCCTTTGGCACAGAGGTGCTTACTTCCTACCCTGTCATTACACATGGCAATCCTGTCTCTGGAGAATTTCAGGACTCATATTGCTAGGCAACAGAATGGCTCTCTATCCCCCAGAGCAAATCTGCATCTCCAAGTCAGAATCTCTTGCATTCAGGGAGATGGTAGCAGACATTTCTGCACAGTGCCTACTTCAACTACACAGAGTGATGGAGCAAGACCAAACAGTATCCAGAAACTGGGGTCCATTTCACATGCTGCCACGGGCTGTCTGCTCAGCTTTATCCCTGAAACAAAATTGTCTGTGCCTGCAAATGTCCACCTTGTCACCAAGGGGTCAGACATTCTCCAATAATACATATGCAATTCAATTAATACCACGGTTGTATTGAAATGTTCTCTAGATATGCCCTACTTTTAAAAGCTTGTGACAAACCTTAGAATCAGAAAGACCTCCTTTTTTAAATAACTTGACAACCTAAAAGAACCTACACCCAAAGAATAGAATATTCTAGAATATTCCATAATGGTGGCAAAGTATAAGGGAAAAGAGAACTGGAATGTGGTTGAATGATTACCACAGATAACGAATCAAAGTTTAATGACTGTAATTTTAAATCAAACTTTGAAAGAACATTTTCAGGGGAAAGAGAATAACCGTACAATGCAATCCGAAGTATATTTGCCTGCACCTGCCTTTCTTTCTGTTCAGATAGGTGCGTTACCACCTTAGACAGTGGAATTCCTTTCAGAATGACTGTTGTTATAATGAGCACTCTCTTCTCTTGCAGGACTAGTTCTTTGGATGTCAGCTGAGTTACTAAGGTAATTCTGCATGTCAAAAGGCAAACCTTGGTAGAATCCCAAGTGTCTTGGAAGCCGCCTTCACTCTTCATTTGTTTTTTTCTTCGGTGTGTGTGTCTTCACCGAACATTCAAAACTGTTTCTCCAAAGGGTTTTGCAAAAACTCAGACTGTTTTCCAAGGCAGAAGCACTGGCGGCCACCGCTGAAGCAATGGGCAGTGTGCGCACGAACCGCTACAGCATTGTCTCGTCAGAAGAAGACGGCATGAAGTTGGCCACCATGGCGGTGGCCAATGGCTTTGGGAATGGGAAGAGTAAAGTCCACACCCGACAACAGTGCAGAAGCCGCTTTGTGAAGAAAGATGGCCACTGCAATGTTCAGTTCATCAACGTGGGTGAGAAAGGACAGCGGTACCTGGCAGACATCTTTACCACCTGTGTGGACATTCGCTGGAGGTGGATGCTGGTGATCTTCTGCCTGGCTTTTGTGCTGTCCTGGCTGTTCTTTGGTTGCGTGTTTTGGTTGATAGCTCTGCTCCACGGGGATCTGGATGCATCAAAAGACAGCAAAGCTTGTGTGTCTGAAGTTAACAGCTTCACGGCGGCCTTCCTCTTCTCCATTGAGACGCAGACAACCATCGGCTATGGCTTCAGGTGTGTCACGGACGAGTGCCCGATTGCTGTCTTCATGGTGGTGTTCCAGTCCATCGTGGGCTGCATCATCGATGCTTTCATCATAGGCGCGGTTATGGCGAAGATGGCAAAGCCAAAGAAGAGAAATGAGACTCTGGTCTTCAGTCACAATGCTGTCATTGCCATGAGGGATGGCAAGCTGTGCTTGATGTGGAGGGTGGGTAATCTTCGGAAAAGCCACCTCGTGGAAGCTCACGTCCGAGCACAGCTCCTGAAATCCAGAATCACTTCGGAAGGGGAGTATATACCCCTGGACCAGATAGACATCAATGTGGGGTTTGATAGTGGAATTGACCGTATATTTTTAGTGTCCCCAATCACCATCGTCCATGAAATAGATGAAGACAGTCCTCTATATGACTTGAGTAAACAGGACATTGACAATGCAGATTTTGAAATTGTTGTCATACTAGAAGGCATGGTGGAGGCCACGGCCATGACCACGCAGTGCCGGAGCTCTTATCTGGCTAATGAAATCCTCTGGGGTCACCGCTATGAGCCCGTGCTCTTTGAGGAAAAGCACTACTACAAAGTGGACTATTCGAGGTTCCACAAGACTTACGAAGTACCAAACACCCCACTTTGTAGTGCCAGAGACTTAGCAGAAAAGAAATACATCCTCTCCAATGCAAATTCATTTTGCTATGAAAATGAAGTTGCCCTCACAAGCAAAGAGGAAGAGGACAGTGAAAATGATGTCCCAGAAAGCACTAGTACAGACTCCCCTCCTGGCATAGACCTTCATAACCAGGCCAGCGTACCTCTAGAGCCCAGGCCCTTAAGGCGAGAATCCGAGATATGACTGACAGATTCCTTCTCTGGAATTTTAACTTCGTTACACAGTCTGCTGTTGGTCAGAGGCCCAAAACAGTTATACAGACCACGGTACTGGTCAAGAGGTGGGTGAAGGCAAGAGGCCACGAGAGACTAAAATGGCACAAGGATTTCCAGAAAAGACTGTAAGCTGGATGACTGACGGTAAAGCACTACGCAGGCCTCTGCGTGACCCAATGGAAGGCACATATCTGTTGTAGAATAAGTTATAGGGGTTTTAATGTATTGTTTTGTGTTTCGACAAAACTTGAATATGCAGGCAAGCCTTGGTTTGAGTATTTGACTTATCTGGATTGCTTCTCTTTAAGAGAACAAGAATGTTTTTAATGGCATAACAAAGGCAAGACTCTGCCTTAATTTTTTTGAAAAGCTGCTAACTACATGAACACAAATTGTATTTTTGTTGCAGTGTAGTTTACCTTTTGTGTAATTTAAAAAGTCAGTGTTGAACTTTGTTGAAAGCGTACAGTGTACTTCAAAGTGGCAAGTATTTGGCTATTACCTGCCAAAATGAGAGCCTGATGTTTTTGAGGCCAGTAATTTGTTTGCTAGAATTGATCTCTCTCTCTCTCTCTCTCTCTCTCTCTCTCTCTCTCTCTCTCTCTCTCTCTCAAAAAAAAATTGGATAGTTATTTTTTTTTTATAATTGCTCTCTCTCTCTCTCTCTCTCTCTCTCTCTCTCTCTCTCTCTCTCTCTCTCTCTCTCTCTCGTTACATAAGGGCATTATGTAACACTAGCCAAATGGTAGCCTCTGGGTTTTGTACTTTTCCTCTCCACGACGTTTAATGGGTAATCTCAAATTTAAGTCAGACTACCTAAAATGAATACCAAAGATAATGCACATTTTTGCACAGAGGAGCCGATACTCAACCGGAAACAAAGCCCCATAGGTTGTGTAGAAATGGAGAGATACTAACTTTGAACCTCAGCAAGATACTGATCAACCTGTTCATGTTGCACCTTAGAAAACAGAACATCAAACGCACAGTCTAATATATGTAGTGCATTTTCAATTGTGTTCTTGTGTGTACCTCCTTGTTTGAAAAGGAGGAGAAAAGGGGAAGTATGATTCACACTTGCATGTACACAGTATCAAAATCTTTTCCTTCCTGATAGGTAGTACTGGGCAGGCTTATGTATTTAAGAGAGAAATGGTAATACACACTTAGATCAGTCTTTCTGGACTTCTCTCATTTTGCACATTTCAAACTTTATTCCTTAAGATCAGATCTTGGTTGAATCTTTTTGGTATCCTGGTACTTTCTGAACAGATCCATCCAGCATAAAAGATGGATAGATTTCAGCTTCTGCATCTTGGTGTCACCTTAGGAAAGAGGGATGAGCCCTAAACTTTTCCTGATGCATCTGCAGTAGCGTCAGCATGGGCTCAGTTCTGCCAAAGCAGGGGACCAGGGTGTGGGGAAGAGCCATTTTTACCCAAGAATCCACCTCAAGAAGGAGGAAAAAGTTGTTTTTCAGTGGCAAAGGGTAGGAGTAAGAATGTCTCGGTATTTTAGGGTCTTAGCAATAAAAATATAACACAATTACAAGTTAAAGAGTTAACAGTCTAAGAAGGTCATTCTCCTGTGCACACTCATGATCATTGTGAGCTGATCATTGTATCTTGTGGAGCCCTAGAACAGCTTACCAAGGTTATTATTATTATTATTATTATTATTATTATTATTATTATTACTTTTGGTCTTTTTGAGACAGGGTCTCCCTGTAGACCCAGCTGGCCTGGATTTGCTATGGAGACCAGGCTGGCCTCGAACTCAGAGATCCGCCTGCCTCTGCCCCCTGAGTGCTGGGATTAAAGGCGTGCGCCACCATGCCCGGCAAAGGTCACATTATTTTATAGACGCCTCTTCTGCCTAGTTGTCTCCCTTTATAAAAACACCCCCCGCCACACACACACATCAGCCCAATAATGCAATTCTTCCTTTTTTTGTTTTAAAGTTCCTTCCTTATAAATTCTGGGACTTCTGACTCTTTTTCAACCGGAGTCTCAAAATCAACTCTCTGATGGTATTATGACCTGGTATGCCATTAAAAAACAGCTTGTTCTAGAATCACGTATTTTACTTCAACTGATGTGCTGGTCTCTGGCTCATGAGAAGCCTTATGCGGAGGGAGTGCCTGTAAAACCACAACAGTTTCTGTTGTTTTCACCTTTCCAAGTCAGTGGGTGTGAAAACTGTCGGTGTATTTTCATTGAAACGAGAGAGAGAGAGAGAGAGAGAGAGAGAGAGAGAGAAAACAAGTGGTTGGTTAGTGTACATCCATGTTTAAAAGTAGGGTTGGGAAGTTGCTTGAGGAGTTGGAGGAATTGTAGAAGGGAGAACACATAGAAAGGAAAACAATCTGGCCTTTGACAGTGACAGGCCACAGAGGGTTTCAGCTGCTGCTACTACAAAGTTGTGCAAAGGAAAAATAACCAAACCAAAGAGTATTCTGTGGAATGTAAATTAAATAAAGACGCAGTGGAGGGTGTGGGCGACTACCTGGGGGTACCCCCAAACACACAGTGCTACCACTTAAAAAAGACTTGAGTTCTTTGGAAAGGGGTGGACACAGGGGCAAGAAATAGGGAGGGAAGTCTTTCAACTTATTTCTTAAAAAGAGAAAAGAATAACATCTAAATTTTCTGGTGCATAGGTTTGTTTTTGTGTTTTTTTTTTTCAAGAAAATTTTGCAGAAGCTATGTTTTTAAAGTGTACATTTTATAAGATTTATCAGATATTTTCATATTTAAAGCCAAATGTAAATAGAAATCTGTAAAGGAAAATATAAAATGCCATAGAAAGTATAATTTCAGCAGCAATTTCTGAAAGCTAGCACCTATATGCTGCAGGTTAGCATGGTTTTAGCAGATATTTACCAGCCTTATAAGGTTTGTTTTGGTATGTTCCTCTGTTATTTATTTCAGCATGGACTGTTCTTATCAGAGCTTCTTGTAGTTATTAGCATTTTAGTAGTTATAAGCTTTAAATGATGTTTTGCTTTGTTTTGTTTTGCCAAGAGCCAAGACATAGGTAACACTTGGCATTTCTTGCTGCATTTTACCTTCAAATTATCTGTCTTCATTGACTGAGTCCCCTGAACTAGTGCACACGCCTGCCACTAGTACATGTGTGGAGGAACGCACCATGAACATCTGGGGTCAGTTCCCGGATGTGTGTTGCTTCTCTGATGCAGGCAAATCCCTCTAGGATGTATTCCCTTTGAAAGAAAGTTTGCCCATATCTAGATGGGCATTATATTTTTTTTGAGGGGGGAGGCATAGATTCCTGGTTATTCTATTTTTAAATAAAAGGTAGACAAAGCGAATTCTATTTTGATTATTGAGAAAGGAATAGTTTTCTATCCCTCTAAGAGTATACTTGAATCAGACATTTAAGGATGTCGCTATAGCACTGTAGTCATTTCCAAATTCCTAGAGAAAGTTTGTTGGACTTTGTTTTTGTTTTGTTAATGCATTATTTTTTTTCCTTTCACTTCCTTTCTCCCTGATATACTCCCTCCCTAAATCTGGATGTGTATTGGATGATCTCTGTTCCCCTAAATGGTGTTCCCCTTTCAGATAATAAACACTCTATAAAAGCAAACAGCTCATCCTAAGAAGGGGACAGAGCTCTTTTGTACTCTGTTTAATAATGTTAATGTGGAAAATTTTAAAGTGTTGCATTGTTACCTCCAAACCCACAACCTTCAGCAAACTAGAATTTTGTTTCTAGGAATATAAGGTTTCAGCTCCAAGCTCTGGTGAGTTGAACAATCCCAGCCTTTGGCCATCATAATAGCTATTATTTTCCCATTTGCCATCTTTTGTATCTAAAGTCTTCCTGTTGTACTGCACAAACCATGGATTGTACATATTTTTATATATTATGTCTTATTTTATTATTTCTAAATAAAAATTAAAATTGAAAATGAATTTGTGGAAGAATTATTGGACCTCTTCTATGATTACTATAGAAACATTGAAGTTTATGTTCCCAGACAATAGGGCATAAACCCTGGTCCTTTGAATGAATAGAGCCATAGAAATTGCTGGAACACACAGGTGCATTGGAGTGGCAGATTAGCTTAATCCAAGTTAGAGGAAGTCAAGCTTATATTTTGTTTTTGGACAGAATAGCTTAGAGAGAGGATAGAAAAGAGAAAAAAAGAAGAGAAACAAAACAAAATAAGTTTATATTTTTATTCTTTAATTATAGCAATTATACTTTATTGACTGCTACTGTGAGTAGGTTCTGCCTTTATACTAGATTATGTTATAATATTATATTAATTACTTTTTGAGGCAGGGTTTCATTTAGCTCACAGTGCCCTCTAAACTTTGCCTTTTGCTTCTTCCTACCCAACGCTGAGATTCTAGGCATGAGCCCCCAGGCCTGGCTATTTGGTGTAGAGATGGAATCCAGGGCTTTGTGCACCAATAGGTTAGGCCAGCCATCTACCAACTGAGCCACATCATCAGCCTCTATTTCATCTTATGCTTTTTAAAATTCAATATATTATTATTCCTTTGCCGAAGCTCAGGACTTTGAAGATAGGTACTGTAATGACTGAGAATAGATATTTTGATTGGGGCTTTTTGTCCAAATCATCAATGCACTGTTGTAGCTCAAACATAGTGACACACAACAGGCAAACAAATGAACTGCCTGTGTTTGAGCAGAGCGTGGGTTGGGGCTACAGGGAGCAGGCCAGATCTGGCTTGTGGTCTAAGATAATCAACTCTCATGACAAGTAAAGAAACCAGGAATGAATTTTAAACTAATGAATTACCGAGGTAGGATCTGAATTCAAAGTTGATCTGTTTCCAAACCTAGTTTACTTCACTAAACCATCTACTATTCTCACACATAAAGCCCCCTATCCTAGGTGGGCTCAGAGGAAAAAGGCCACTCCCTCTAACATATCAGGAATAAAATGTTTTCCAAAATTGGGAAATTGTAGGGAAAGTTGCAGTCTGACATGCACAAACCTTACTATTTCTTTCTTCTACAACTACCCAGAGAAACCTTTCAAACACATCTCTAAGTTCTCAGCAAATATTAAATGATTTAATCTTAACAGGAACCTTGTGGTGCCAGTGTGATCCCAGCATGAGAAACAAGGAAACGAAATCCTCTTTAGCTAAAGAGACTGCGCATTGATGAGAAGAAGCACTTTGCCCAGGAGCAGGCAGCTAGCAGGTGTAAGAACAGAGGCTGAGACCTGTGCTCTGCCGCATGGGCCTGTTCCTATAACCATTCCCCTCTGCTTGTCCTCTGGAGTTTGCACAGTAAGCATCACCATTTAATCTGAAGCCTTTCTCTCTCTCTCTCTCTCTCTCTCTCTCTCTCTCTCTCTCTCTCCATCTCCTTCACCTCTGCTTTCCCTCTGCTAAGGGCAGGCAGAGGATACTCCTGTTATTCTGAAGAGAAATCAAAGCATGCCATGAGAAAACCAGGCAGTTAGTTGATTGCATTAAAGACCCTACCTCTATTTCCCGTTCACTTGTATATATTCATATAGTAAAATATATACATTAAAAGAAAAGTCAGGGTGGAATTGCAGAATCATTTTGTGGCTCAGACCCTCTTTTGAATGGCAA